TTTGAATGGCTAATGAAAATTTTATTTCACAAACCTTGCAAACTTAGTCAAATCTAGTTGTGAGATCTTTTGAAGTGTGCATGTGACCTGCATGATCGCGTGTTCTGTGAATTGAATACGGACAGGAGGAGAGTTCAGCGACACTGGAGACTCGTGAGTGATTTCAAATTATGCTGCGCTTTATGCATTTGCCCACTGTCATATTCATGTCATTTTCACTGTGTGCTGTATGTAAAATGAGTGTTACCTTGGCTTTATTTGAAAAAATATGATTCCCAATGCACACAAACTTCCCAGAATACTGAGTGCCCTGTTGGTTACAGTGTTTACTTCCTTTTTAATTATATTTTTATTAAATATTTATTTATTTGTGAAAAATACTTTGTCTTCTAGAGTATAAGTATGTTTATTTTACACGTTTATTTTTTAATCCATTTTCAAATGATTTCAAATTTCTTAAATATGAATTAAAATAAATAAAATTATATCGGCCATCGGCCACCCTGCTTTCCAAGATATCGGCATCGGTATCGGCTGTCAAAAAACCCATTATCGGTCGACCACTAATTTTATTATATGATTATAATATTTTTAAATAAGATGCTTACATTATAAACATGATGATCATCTCTAAGGTGGACACCCAACTTAATACATGATATTTACCATCTGAATCTAACCATGTAATGTCAACAAATGGAAAAGCCAGCCAGCTATTTATCATCATGTCAATTATTGTGCCTATATCCCCAACAGCAAGGGTACTTTTTACTCAAAATATCACAGTTTTACATATTTTTCAGCTATTGCAAAACTGTTGATTTACTTGAATAAAACTATTCTTATTTGCTACATATATCCATTGAAAAGTTTCAATTAGATTGAAAAACATTGAGTTTTTGTGCCATCTAGTGGTTAAGAGGAAAATCAAATCAAATGCACCTTTAGCCCCATTGTTTTTTTCTTACTAATATTTAAACTGTGAAGTGAAAAAAAAAAAAA